TGGTTGATTTAGGTCCCGTAACGACTCATTGCCATTATATTATGGTTGATTTAGGTCCCGTAACGACTCATTGCCATTATATTATGGTTGATTTAGGTCCCGTAACGACTCATTGCCATTATATTATGGTTGATTTAGGTCCCGTAACGACTCATTGCCATTGTATTGTGGTTGATCTAGGTCCCGTAACGACTCATTGCCATTATATTTTGGTTGATTTAGGTCCCGTAACGACTCTTTGCCATTATATGTTGGTTGATTTAGGTCCCGTAACGACTCATTGCCATTATATTTTGTTTGTTTTAGGTCCCGTAACGACTCATTTCCATTATATTTTGGTTGATTTAGGTCCAGTAGCGACTCATTGCCATTATATTTTGTTTGTTTTAGGTCCCGTAACGACTCATTTCCATTATATTTTGGTTGATTTAGGTCCCGTAACGTCTCATTGCCATTATATTTTGGTTGTTTTAGGTCCCGTAACGACTCATTGCTTGTTCTAGGTCCTGTTACGCCTCATTGACATTGTATTGTGGTTGATCTAGGTCATGTAACTACTCATTGCCATTGTATTGTGGTTGATCTAGGTCCTGTAAAGACTCATTGCCATTGTATTGTGGTTGATCTAGGTCCTGTTACGCCTCATTGACATTGTATTGTGGTTGATCTAGGTCCTGTAATGACTCATTGACCTGAACTATGAGCTATTATTCCTGTTAAATAGGAATTGTTTACAATTGAATCCTTAAAGAAATTTCATGATATTGAACACTGATGTTACTCATTGAATCTTGAGTTGTAGAAGATTCTCCTGCAATCTATTTAGTTTAACAATTGGAGCGAGTTTTCTAAGGGATACGGAATGAACTATTTCAATGCAGCTTTTCACATCCAGTTGGTGGATGATGAATGTGTTTATACACGATGTCCTTGGGCCTGTATCCCTTGGATTTTATATAGGATGGGTTGTCAACAAATATACATGATTTATTCAATTGTTAACATCCTAAACTTAAACAGACAATGCTTGAATATTGAATAGTTAAAGATATTTATTTCACAAGCGAAATTAGAGTTATCTCCCCTACATCATTTATTTGGATTGTTATGACAGAACATATGTAACGTTTTCAATTGTTGGAAAGGTCTTAAATAGTACTAGCCTGATGTGCACTCTAACTGACATATACATAGTCAATAAATCTGTTGAAATTGAAAATTGAGTGCAGTGTTTCTTGTTTACCCATGTAGGTGAACATGTCTGTAAATCATATGTCAGTGAGGCGCAACCTAGCAGAGGATCAGCAGCAGTACCAGTCTTAGGAACTTTGCTGGCATTATCAATCATTGCAAATTTGATGACTGTTATATACTTGATAAGGTAACTGATATACTTGATAAAATAGTACATTAGAAAATATAAGAGAAGAGATATGATATAAAAATTTGTATTGTTTCCAAAGTTACATTAATCAATTGGTTTATCTTTTATCATTATTTAAATTTAAGATAAAAGGTTTATTTATTATCCCAGGGAAACAGAAGTTACTTAATAATAGTGACAGGTCCCCTGTCTGCATTGCCTTGATTCTATTTACAACAGGTACCGACGGTCAAAACCTCAGGGGAAAGCAGATGTTGACAATGGTAAAGTATTATCTAACATGCTATTCGTCGCCTTATAAAACCATAAAGTGGCTGACGCCAAAGTAATATCTAGTATTTTGTAATATCTACGTTGATAGATTATAACGAATTGATAGCCAGGTAAAGAACAAATTTTATAGAATAAGTAAGTGTTTCTAAAACACGTATCAAGTTTTGCTATATCTTTCGGTTTTAAGCCAACGTTGTCACTTAATTAACTGAACGTCATCAGCTCTTACAATACTACTCAAATGACAAGTATCCTTCACTTGCTAGAAATGTATTTCTCATATGTACATTTTACCAACACTGTCTATTTGAGTATAGTCCCTTTAATTGCTAGTACAGTATTACTCAAATGAATATAGTACATGTACTTTCACTTACTAGTACAGTATTGCACAAATGAATATAGGTCATGTACCTTCACTTACTAGTACAGTATTGCTCAAATGAGTATAGTATCTTCACTTACTAGTACAGTATTGCTCAAATGAATATAGTACATGTACTTTCACTTACTAGTACAGTATTGCACAAATGAATATGGGACATGTATCTTCACTTACTAGTACAGTATTGCTCAAATGAATATAGGTCATGTACCTTCACTTACTAGTACAGTATTGCTCAAATGAATATAGGACATGTACCTTCACTTACTAGTGCAGTATAGCTCAAACGATTATAGTACGTATACCTTCACTTACTAGTACAGTATTGCTCAAATGAGTATATTACCTTTACTTATTAGAACAGTATTACTCGAGTGATAAAAAAAACGTTACATGGCAAGGGTGATAACAATACTTTACATGGCAAGGGTGATAACAGTACGTTACATGGCAAGGGTTATAACAATACGTTACATGGCAAGGGTGATAACAATACGTTACATCACAATCGAAAAACGTTACATGGCAAGGGAGATAACAATACGTTACATGACAAGGGTGATAACAATACGTTACATGACAAGGGAGATAACAATACGTTACATGGCAAGGGTTATAACAATACGTTACATGGCAAGAATGATAACAATACGTTACATGACAAGGGTGCTAACAATACGTTACATGACAAGGGTGATTACAATACGTTACATGGCAAGGGTGATAACAATACGTTACATGGCAAGGGATATAACAATACGTTACATGGCAAGGGTGATAACAATACGTTACATGACAAGGGTGATAACAAAACGTTACATGACAAGGGAGATAACAACACGTTACATGACAAGGGTGATAACAACACGTTACATGACAAGGGTGTTAACAACACGTTATATGATCAGGGATATAACAATACGTTACATGACAAGAGAAATAACAACACGTTACATGATCAGGGAGATAACAATACGTTACATGACAAGGGAGATAACAACACGTAACATGGCAAGGGTGATAACAACACGTTACATGACAAGGGTGATAACAACACGTTACATGACAAGGGTGATAACAACACGTTACATGGCAAGGGAGATAACAACACGTTACATCACAATCGAAAAACGTTACATGACAAGGGAGATATCAATACGTTACATGACAAGGGAGATAACAACACGTAACATGGCAAGGGTGATAACAACACGTTACATGACAAGGGAGATAACAATACGTTAAATCACAAACGAAAACGTTAAATGACAAGGGTGATAACAACACGTTAAATGACAAGGGTGATAACAATACGTTACATGGCAAGGGAGATAACAATACGTTACATGACAAGGGTGATAACAATACGTTACATGGCATGGGTGATAACAATACTTTACATGACAAGGGAGATAACAATACGTTACATGGCAAGGGAGATAACAACACGTTTAATGGCAAGGGTGATAACAATACGTTACATGACAAGGGTGATAACAATACGTTACATCACAATCGAAAAACGTTACATTACAAGGGAGATAACAAAACGTTACATGACAAGGGTGATAACAATACTTTACATGGCAAGGGAGATAACAATAAGTTTAATGGCAAGGGTGATAACAATACGTTACATGACAAGGGTGATAACAATACGTTACATCACAATCGAAAAACGTTACGTTACAAGGGAGATAACAAAACGTTACATGACAAGGGTGATAACAACACGATACATGATAAGGGAGATAACAACACGTTACATGACAAGGGAGATAACAACACATTACATGACTAGGGAGATAACAAAACGTTACATGACAAGGGAGATAACAAAACGTTACATGACAAGGGAGATAACAAAACGTTACATGACAAGGAAGATAACAACACGTAACATGACAAGGGAGATAACAAAACGTTACAGTAAGGGAGATAACAACACGTTACATGACAAGCGAAATAACAAAACGTTACATGACAAGGGTGATAACAACACGTTACATGACAAGGGAGATAACAACACGTTACATGACAATGGAGATAACAATACGTTACATGACAAGGGAGATAACAACACGTTACATGACAAGGGAGATAACAACACGTTTCATCACAATCGCAAACGTTACATGACAAGGGAGATAACAACACGTTACATGGCAAGGGAGATAACAACACGTTACATCACAATCGAAAAAAAAACCCAACTACATCCACATATTTTCTCTAACTTTGTAAGGATTTTTTTCTCTGACTTCCAGGCTTTGAAGTACCTGAATCGGTGTATGACCAGTTAGACTCTGCTTCAAGACAGTCTGCAAACATATATGATACGACATCACCTATGTAGTGTTATACTGCATCAGTTGCAGAAGTTTGTTTGGTATAAGTCTTGTTTTTAAGAATAGCGTATTCGAGGATATATTGATAGTTACATTCTAAACTAACTCAATTTACAACAGGAATAAGGCATTGTTCACAGTTTAATCGTAATATTAATATCTCATGTAGCGCCAAAATAGTACAGCTTTGTTATACTTTGCCTTTTGAAATTTGAGTTAATCACGACGCTTTTTCTGGTACAAAATGTATAGTTTTTAAATATATATTATGTGATACGATTTGCTTGTATAAAATTCCTTTTTTTTCATGTGTATCATCATTTTAATAGGCTTTATCATTTATGAACCTAATTGATTTCGTGCTATATACGTATTTTGCTGTTCTGTTTAAACACACAAGTGTATTCATTAATTACATATATATTTTCATTCAGTCAAAAACAAATGTTGAGGTTTGTAATCATCTGACACCCGGTATATTGATTGCACAAATTGATGTTGCGTTGAATATTTTTTGTAAAATAATAACGTAAATTGTATTTATTGTACATGTACCATTGTCCATCATTTGAAGATAAAGATTTGATAAGTTATATCGTTGTTTGTATTTTGTACTCATTTATACATGTATTAAATAGAACATTAAAAAACAACATCCACTAACACAAGGTCAAGGTGAGAACTCAACACGGGGAGGCAAAATTGCCAAACATAGCACAAAAGGTCAAGGTGAGAACTCAACACGGGCGAGGCTAAAATAGCCAAATATAGCACAAAAGGTCAAGGTGAGAAGAGAACTTAACACGGGCGAGGCAAAAATAGCCAAACATAGCACATAAGGTCAAGGTGAGAAGAGAACTTAACACGGGCGAGGCTAAAATAGCCAAACATAGCACACAGGGTCAAAGTGAGAACTCAACACGGGCGAGGCTAAAATAGCCAAACATAGCACAAAAGGTCAATGAGAGCGCACGGCTCGTAATGGACGCGGGCTTTGAGCGCCGTCAAAATGTTTGAATATTGTGGTCTGATATCAGATGAAATGTGATCAAAATGTACTTGTGACGGATGGATATGATCGTGTGGGTGCCGGTAAGGTCGTTGTTTGTCCCGTATGCCGCCCAAGAAGAAGAAACGGGGAGAAAACAGCAAAAAGGCTGCGAAGGTGAGCGATGCCCATTCACCCGTGAAATCAATTAACAATACCAGTAATAGTGTACCGCCTGAACTGTATGATATAATGGCCTCACAGCAAGGTATGCACAATTACCAGCCACAGAACTGGCCAAACCAGTCTCCAGGCAATGGCCAGCCTCAGATGCCAGCCAGTAATTATTACAATTTTCCGTACCAGATGAGTATGTCATCCCCCCCTTCGGGCCCCCCACCCATGGGTATTCAACCTAATTCATCGGACACACCACCGGCATGGGCCAAGTGTCTAATATCAAAAGTCGACGCGTTGACCAGCAAACTTACTAAATTAGACACCATCGAACGGGGTATTCTTGAGTTAAACAATGATGTGAAACATTTGAGATCCCGGGTTGCGGAAGTCGAGAAATCTCAGGAATTCCTAAATAAGAAATTTGAGGAAAATTTAGCCCCTGATATGAGTGGTATTAGGGCCAGTATCAATCGTGCTGCCGACGACATACTAGATTTGAAGTGTAGGTCCATGAGAGACAATCTTTTATTTTTCGGGGTAGAAGAAAAGGCCACGCCCGACTTTAACACAGTAGTAAACGAAAGTGGTGTTGAAGTGAGAGTACCGACTGAAGACTGCATTGCCAATGTAAATTGGATCGCGCATGACAAACTCGGTATAAGTGAAAATGTGATCATCGACAGGGCACACCGGATAGGGGAGAAGAAGGAGGGGAAGACTAGGCCCATCGTAGCCAAATTTAATATGTACCAACAAAAGGAGCTTGTAAAACGTAATGCAAAGAAACTAAAAGGGACAGATATTTTTATTTCCGACCAGTTTCCGAAAGAGGTTCAGGATGCGCGGAAGAGGCTATGGCCAGTGTGTAAGAAAGCGAGAAACGAGAACAAAAAGGCGGTGATTATTAGGGATAAACTTTTTATAAACGATAAAGTGTATGATGGACCAGTACCGGACCTTTCCGCGGCCGCGGCCGCGGCCGGGAAGGGGACCCCCACGGGACGGGACAAGCCTAAAGGCCGAGGACGTCAGTCCAGTACAAATTAGGACAGTGATGAGAATGAGAGTATTTCAAATACTCTAAATGTACTGTCATGGAACATTAATGGTGGATTGGACAATAAATTAAAATCTAAACAATTTCAAAATTTTATTAAAACATATAATCTTGTATTTTTGACAGAATGTTGGATAACAAATGACTACCAAGTTGATATTGAAGGTTACTCTACCTATGTAATACCTAGAAAACGTACTACACATTCCCAAGGAGGTGGCATGTTAATTATGATTAAATCAAATTTAACTAAATATATTTCAGTTTGTGAAATTATATGTGACTCTATAGTTTGGCTAAAAATTGATAAAAGTCTTATTGGTCAAGGAAATGATGTGTACCTGGCATGTGTCTATATTCCACCTTCCAATTCCCAATTCTATAACCAGTATAACTGTGATTTATTTTTTGAATTGGAATATGGTATAAGTCAATATTCCCGAAAGGGTGATATTATGTTGTTGGGAGATTTTAACAGTCGTACCAGTAATGTATGTGATTATGTAAAATATGATATTATTCACGACAGTGTTAAATGTCAGCTTTCTGATTTGTTTTCATATGTCTCTGATGATTATTATACTGATAGGGTTAACCCCGACACAGTGGTAAATCATTTTGGAAACCGACTTATAGAATTATGTAAGGCGAGTTGTTTGCGTATCTATAACGGAAGAGATTTAAATAAGTATTCAAATGACTATACATATTGTGGCCATAATGGAATGAGTGTTATTGATTATTTGATTGCGAGTCCATGTTTATTGTATTGTGTTAAACAGTTTATTGTTGGCAATTTCAATGTGTTATCTGACCACGCCCCACTGCACGTGCAAATACGAACGCGTTTTTCATTGGTCGATAATGATGATACACACGTGTGTGAACCGACAGGTAACGAGCGACCTACTTATCGATGGAATGACGAAGGCAAGGTAAGCTTTTTAGATGTACTCTCAACGAATCAAAACGATATTAACGAGTCGGTTATACTATCGGAAGATGTTACCCAAAATGATATGGATGATTGCGTTACGCGATTTTCAAACGTATTGCTTCGAGCAATGGACCCCTTTCTCTCGCGACCGAGTACACACAGGAACGACAAGCGTGCGGGAGCAATGGGGCGAGACCAGGTAAATAAACAAGTTAGGTATGATACAGGTATATCCGAGGACAAACCATGGTTTGACCCCGATTTGAAACATGTATGGAATAATTATAAAAATGCATTGAGTTTGTTTAATAGTTCTAAGTCTGTAGAGAATCATAACAATTTAATTAATAAGAAAAGATTGTACAAAGCAGCAGAAGCAAAGAAAAAAAGAATGTACATGAAATATGAAGGTGATATGCTTGATCAACTAAGAAAGTATAATCCGAGACAATTTTATAAGAGATTCTCGTCGCCTAAAGCAGCTGGACCTCAAATGAGTATGGATAATTTGTACGACCATTTTAAGACTTTGTCATCTGAGAATGTTAATAATTCAGATGTAACAGAAAATAGAGGTGAATTTAATTCCAATGATAACTCTATTCCAATTTATGATGAATTAGACTGTCCTATTACGGTGTATGAGATAGCTAAAGCGATAGGTAACCTGAAACGGGGTAAATCACATGGACTTGATGGAATTTTAAATGAATGTTTCGTAGTTGGTAAAAATGTACTATTGCCTGTTTTGAGTGTACTATTTAATGGCATTTTTAATTCTGGATGTTTTCCCTCCGAATGGTCTATAGCTGTTATTACGCCAGTTCATAAGAAAGGAGATAAAAGTGACCCTAACAATTTTAGAGGTATTAGTTTGGTAAGTTGTCTAGGCAAACTGTTTACATCAATTTTGAATACGAGGTTGGTAAAATGGTCGGAGTCTTATGATATTATTACTGACGCACAGTTTGGTTTTCGTCCTGGTCTTAGCACTGTTGATGCCGTTTTCGCTCTGCATTCAGTTATTACAAAATCTTTTAGTGAAAATAAACGTCTATATTGTTGTTTCGTGGATTTTAGAAAGGCGTTCGACTACGTTGATAGGATCAACTTGTGGTATAAGTTATCGAAGTTGGGAGTAAGAGGGAAGCTGCTGCAAGTCATCAAGTCTATATATAATCATGTTAGGTCTTGTGTGAAATTCAAAGGCTGCTTATCAGACTTTTTTGATAATGATATCGGATTATTGCAAGGGGAAATTCTGTCTCCGATACTTTTTTCCATGTATGTGAATGATTTTGAATCGTTTTTTATCTCGAATTGTAGTAGCTATTATACCTTTGGAGAATTAAGCTTATTTCTTATGCTATACGCAGACGATTTAGTGTTGTTATCGGAGACGGTTGAGGGTTTACAGGAACTGTTGGATAATCTCGCTAGTTATTCTGAGAAATGGAAATTAACTGTCAATATTGATAAGACAAAAATTGTGGTTTTTCGAAAAGGCGGGAAAGTTCGAAATAATGAAATTTGGTTTTATAATGGCAAAACGGTTAGTTGTGTTGATCAATTTACATACCTAGGTGTGCAATTTAAGTTTAACAATAAGTTCAATAGTATTCAGAAACAATTAGCTGACCAAGGTCGTAAAGCTATGTTTGCTTTATTATCAAAATGCTCCAATCTTAGTCTTAATTTTAAGACCATGTTACATTTGTTCGATACATATGTTATTAGCATATTAAGTTACGCATGTGAAGTATGGGGATCCATAAAAGGAATAGACATTGAGAATGTGCACTTGAATTTCTGTAAGAGACTCCTCAAAGTTAAAAAATCCACATGTAATGCAATGGTATATTTCGAACTTGGTCGCTTGCCTTTAGAATGTATCAGAAAATACAGAATCATTAAGTATTGGTTTAAGTTACTCGACTCGAAAAATTGTATTCTGAACTGTGCATATTCTTTTTTATCAAAACAGATTACATGTACTTGCTTTAACTGGGTACACCATGTAAAAAATGAATTATTTGCTTTGGGCTTTGGTGATGTATGGTTAAGCCAATCGTCGACTAATGTTAAATTAATTTTACCGCTTATTCGTCAAAGAATTTTTGACCAAGGCCAACAACATTTAAGAGGTTTACTAGAGACTTCCTCTAAGTGTTTTTTATACAAGTGTATCGTAGACCACTTTTCCATTCAGTATTATTTAACCAAATATATTCCTAAGAATTATAGAATTAGTCTAACAAAGTTACGAATGTCTGCACATTCATTAGCAATCGAGACCGGTAGATATCGCAACGTTATTCGAGAACAGAGATATTGTACGAACTGTAATTCGGCTACAGAAGTCGAAGATGAATACCATTTTATTCTGATATGTAAAACCTACCAAAA